ATTGCCATATTCAAAATACTAGGAGAGGCTGTCACTCCAAATGGCAGCCGGTTGAATCTATACTCCACTATGTTATCTCTAGTGGGCGGGTGATTCACGTTTTTCAACCACAAAAATCTGCATAGATCTTTATGGGCGTTTACTAAACGAATTTGTGTGAAGGCGGCCTCGCTATCGCACGTCAAAATAATTTTTTTGAAACGTGCATGTGTGAGAATGTCGTGAATTTTATTGACAAACGACTCGCCTTTTTGAATCACATCATTGAGGCAAAGTTTTCCCTTTCTCTTGGATGACGCGTCGAAAACTATGCGGAGTGGAACTTTTTTGTGAGCTTTCCAAACTCCAGAATGTGGCATGTAATAAACGCCAGCTGCTTGAGAATTAGGTAAATGGAATGTTTCGATAATGCCTTCGTTTTTGTATTTCTCGATAAGCTCACAGTACCATTTACTTTGTTCTGGATTGTGGGACAGTGTACACTGTAAGGATTGCAACCTTTTAATGGCTATGGTGTAGTTATCCTCAAGGTCGCGCACGTTTTCCTTAAGCGGAAAAGGGGCTGTCACTATCCCGTTTTCGAAGGAAATTTTCTTCGAATATTCCTCAAGGTATTTCTGGGTCACCTCGTCTTTTTGATACTCTTGAGGTGTTATGCCGAGTCCTTCAAGCTCAAACATCTTTTGAAGAACTTCCTGCTCACTGCTTTCACAAACGGCTGTCATGCTATAATTGACAGATTCTGAATTGGAATCGCCAGAAAGCCCGCGACCGTAAATAGTGGGGCCGAAAACCGTTTTCGCAATGTAGAAGCCTGACGGCGTTTTTTCACCGTGTTTGGGGTCAATAACTAGGTCGTGATAATAATCTAGACCTACCAGAATATGTGGGATTTGATGTTCTCCACGTATACTCGGGTTTGCCAAACAAAGGTTATTCGCCTTAAGATAGGCTATATCTGCTTGATTGAGTTTTGCAGAAGGAAATCCGTTTGTAATCACTGGTTTAGTTTGCACAGTAATCTCGATTTCCTCGCCAAAGGCGGTTCCGACTTTCAGCGGTATGAGATGACTTTTGAACGTCTCAGTATGGCCACCGATACCGGACATAGTACAAATTTCGGTAGTCTGTTTCGGTAAGCCAAACTGCTCTACGATTTTTTCCTCAATGACTGTCTTTTGTGCACCTGTATCGAAGAAGAAAAGCACTTTTTGGAACTGACTCTTTTTTACATTCCAAATATTCCCTTCAGCTGTCATCAGTACAAGTTGTTTGCTTGCTGTGGCGCTGGGATGAGTATTTTGGGTTGTTTCGACATCCGCACACATTTGTGTATTTGTTGGATTCGGTCTTGAAAAACCCTGATTAGTATTGTTTTCTCGCTGTCCCCTATTGGGCCAGTTTCTTTGCCTTGTTTGATTTGCATTGAAGTTGCTTTTTGCTCTGTGGTCATATGCGTGATTGCCATGAGCGTTATCCTTCTTCAAACAAAGGCTGATATGGTGTTTCTGTCCGCATGCTGCGCAGTCTTGCTTTTGGCAGTCAAAACTATGATGATTCGCGGAGCAGCACTTCCAACACCTATTGCCGTCTTTAAGTATCTTTCGGCGGCTGCTTTGGTCCGTAACTGTCCTGCATTGCATGGACGAGTGGTTGGATCTGTTGCAGAATAAGCACCCTTCACCGTTCTGAGGTCGCGGGTTTATTGCTTTGATTCGTGATTGTGTGACCTTAATGCTGTTTTGCTGGCCAAGTCTGTTTTCGACATATGCTTTTGCGGCGAGCTCTTTCTTTAGTGTAGTCATTAGGTCACCAATTGTTTGCTTATCTTGCGTCTGAGTAGCAATCAGAACTAACCTCACAATATCTTGAGGAAATTTGGAAAGAATGGTTTCGTGCCATATGGGGTCGAACGTTTTTCTGACGTCATAACCCGCGGAGGTCATCTGATTTATCAACATGTTGATTTCATCGAATACCATCGTGCAATTATCAGCTGAGTCGCTTGCCGACTTCATATTGACAAGTTTTTGCACGATCTGCGACCTATTCGTAGGCTGGTTGCAGTATCTTTCTTTCAAGGTCTCAATGATCCAGTTATAATTTGCAGGGATCAAATTTATTCCCTTTATTGCTGTTTGAGCTCGCCCCTTGAGGCTTTCTTTCAACAACATTATTTTTGTCATAACCGGTATATCATTTTTATGGACCAGAGTTTCAAAATAGGCCCAATATTCTGGGAATCCCTCGGCGTCGCCGTAAAATTTGGGCAAAGGTACTTGCGGAGGGTTTATGGATCGATAACTTGTCCTATGTACCTCTTCTCTGCCTTCTGTTATGTGATTTTCTGATGAATTTTGCGAACATGATTGCTCAGACATACAAATTTCGTTTTGGTCTGAAGTCCCAGTGCTATTTTCATCAGTTTCCCGGTTTACAGTACTCGTCTTGTATCTCAGCGTATAATTTTTCAAGCTTTTTCTTAGCTTTTTCTATTTGTGTAACACCACTCTGCAAAAACGCAATATCAGAACGACATTTTTCGAGATTGGTGTCGTCTACTACCGTGTACACAATTTTTCCGGTATACTCTAGGTATCTGGTAACTAGAGTTTTGAGTGAATTTGCGCTTAGCAGTATTGGGCGTCTGTAAAGTTGAAGCGCCATTTCGATTTCTTGGCTTATTGCACTAGAATCGATGATCTGCGTGGAAATTACGCAAAGATCTGATCAGCTGTGTGTTGATCTACAGTGATCTGCGGTCCAACTACTTTCGTAGGGGAGCGACTTTTAGCCGGAGGTTATCGGGCTGAACGGCGAGGGGTATTGCCGTGTAGGATGCTCAAAGAGCTAGTCTCGTTTCCTGGCTAACAAAGGTTTCAAGCTTTGCTGCGGGAAAAGGTGGCTTATTTTAGCCGATGCACCAAGCTGTACGCGGTGGAGACTCTTCGACCGATGTTGGGGTCGGAATGTGATGGTATACGGTGAATAAGAGAAATAGATGGTGGTTCAGTGTTTATTAGAGTACGGTATGCGAGAATGTGCGAATCGTGACCTGCGGTGGTCAAAGTCAGATCGTGAGTGCCAGTGACCTCACAGGGAGACACATGGCAGACATAGCCCGCCCCCTCAGCGTGACGTCAACTGGCATGGGTATTAGGGCTGATAAGGGGAATCATCGATCCATCGATGAATGGTTGTAGGCTTTACTGTAGCCTGAGGCGAAATAGCGCCTGTTGGAGTGTGTTATATAGAACACATTAGCTAATAAGCTTTATGAACAGGCGACCTGCACTCGTAGGTGCTGTGGTAGAATGCTGTCGATTATAGGCGTGGCAAAGTAAGTTAACATATTTTGGGCAGTGACGGTGCTCTTATCACAGCATGTCATGCTTATGCATGACCTTCATGGTAATCATCAGAGGAGGTGAAAGAGGGTGCCGATTCTATCGGCACACTGCCGCCGGCCAAGCATGAAGCAGAAAAGAGAGACAGCACATGACAAAAACACATTCGAATAATCTACTCCTTTTCGCAAATTCTTCTGCTTATCTGGATAGAGTAGTGGACGCTGGTGCCCGGCACGTATTGGTTTGACTGTGTTGAGATCCGCGAAGTATGAGCGGCGGACGTGGGGCCGGCACGAAGCAAATGATTGTAGAGAGTAGACTTCAATAAAGATGATGTGAATAGCGAATTGAGTGTGACAGGATAATATGGAGTTAAACTCTGGAATGTATTCAGTGGGAGCGATCTTCTTGTTTGAAAGCGGAGCTAGCAAATCCTCATTTTTGGAGACAGCTGTTTCTTCACTGGTAACCAGAGGCGTCATGACCTGGAAAGGCTCCTCGTTATGGGCAGAGTAGACCTCACTGCATCGATCATCACTGCTTTTCGACTTTTTGCGTCCTTTTGTCCTTTCTTTTGTCGAAATGCTCTGCGGTGAATTTTTTGCTTCTATTTTCGTCGCACAGTAGCCATCATCGAGGTTTAGAACGGCTGGTTCCGAAGACTTCTTTTGTTTTTTGTCCTGAGCGTATATTACGCTGTTCTCAGCACTGAAATTATTCCTGGAATCAATGTTAGTCTTTCCTTTACTTTCTTCTTCGTTTCTGAGCGTTTCTTCGTTCATCGTTGGCGTATCGCTTGGGATAGGATCGCCTGGTTTTGGTGAATCGTTCGACTGATTTCCGAGCAGTAGTTGCTCACTGTTATTTTTGCATGTTACGGCAGAATTCTTCTTGCTTTCTATGCTTTTCAATTCTGCCTCAAATTCTGTCATGCGGAGTTGCACAAAGTAGACAAGCATGTGAGTATCATCAATGGCTTTATAAAATCTTATCTCTTTATCGAGCTCCTCCATTTCCATCACCATCACTTTCCTTATGGCGGTAGATTCTTCGTTTTGGTAAAGTTTCTCTAGCACATCGGTCCTCATTTGTAGTGACTGTGCGGCGGTCTCCACTTCTCTGATTATTCGCGCATATTGGCGCAGATTGTAGACGCATATCCTCCGGCGCAATTCGTCGTTATCTGGAAGTATGGTCTTCTCACCGCTGTATGCGTACTCTTGCAGTACGTCCGTGAGATTCTTGGTGAGCCGTCTAACTTGTGCGTAGAGGCTGGGAAACAGCTTCATTGCGAGATGTTTCCTTTGTGCTCCTGTTTGCGAAGCACTGTGTCGGCCTTCGTATTTGGCCGATGCACCAAATGTATCGATGGTTGTAGGCTTTACTGTAGCCTGAGGCGAAATAGCGCCTGTTGGAGTGTGTTATATAGAACACATTAGCTAATAAGCTTTATGAACAGGCGACCTGCACTCGTAGGTGCTGTGGTAGAATGCTGTCGATTATAGGCGTGGCAAAGTAAGTTAACATATTTTGGGCAGTGACGGTGCTCTTATCACAGCATGTCATGCTTATGCTGACCTTCATGGTAATCATCAGAGGAGGTGAAAGAGGGTGCCGATTCTATCGGCACATCACACCTGTATCTTCAAGGTTGGTCTGATCGAACCTGGACAATTTCGCGCCACTGACGAACTTGTCCGAAATGAAAGCCGCGGCCATGGAAGGCTTGAAATTCTCAGTCTGAAGGACGTACGCGACGGAGAGTTGGAAATTTCATGAATGTTTCACCTTTCACTTGCCTTGTTCTGCCATTTTAAACTTTTCCTCCTTTTTTGTAATGCTTGATAATCCAAAATTCTTGTATCAAGATGCGCGGATTTGTAACGTAGGGACTTTGAGGTGATAGGATACTTATTCTTCTTAGCAATAAGGCCTTGCTCCAAGATATAGCAAGGTGCAATTTGTCGTAAAAAAAAAACTTCAGCACTTCAAACTAGCACTACGTTATAAACTCCCGCATCTATACAACTTGACCTGGTGTTGGGTTACCGGTTAGACAGAAGTTGTCCTCAGTTTGATCTGCTCTAAAATAGACATTTTCGTAATCCTTATCCCATCTTACACTATGACTTGGTATATGCCTCACATCCTAAAAATTTTTCACGGGACTTCGAACTGTCTATATCCGTTTTTTCTCCAGTCCTTTGTTTCAATTTGTTGAAGTTTTATGTTTATAAAGATCGCGAACACATGTTGTGTTTTCTGCCAAAAAAAAAAAAAACTCGAATGAAACCTCAGAACTGCTGTTTGGTGCTGATCGTCGGTAATGTTGACATCTCATTTTTGGACATTGCTGACGAACCATCCATACGCTGGGTTTTCGCAGCGCTACAACAACTCGACTCTTCTTTGCGGTTTTTTGGATTAGCACAGTGACATCTGGTAATCGGACCAACACACCATCGGCTCCCAAGTTGCCGCGAGGGCGGACTCGGGCAAGCGTATCAGCGATACGGTTGTCCAGTGTTAAACATAGCTGATAAATTGATTATCGGTTGACCATCGCAACCGCCCTCGCAGCAATTGGGGAGCCGATGGTACGTTGAATATCTAGTAGAATTGACTGTTGTTGTATCGTGGTGACGACAACATCTGCGTGTAAACAAATGCCATTCTGATGTTGACAGCTTGCTTGCGATTTGCGGGTAGAAAAAACGAGGAAACGACAGAGCGCATACTGCCACCTTTACGAGCAGATGTTGTTGGCAACGCAAAAACGCTACACTAACCGTCAATTCTGCTGGCCATATTTAGGAAGTACCGCGGCAATTTCTGGTACCTGTGGCTACTTAAATCAACAAATAAGCAATTGAAATCTCTCAATATTTATCACATAGATTATGCTTTACAATACATACCTTCTATCTCATCGCAAAAATGCGGAACAAAAGAATAAAACCTTACCCGAGAAAGAAATGATTCAGTTCATTGCAATATGTGACCAAAGAACAAATCGCACTTCAAAACAACGAACAAGTGGAAAACGACTGGGAGAATATTGTAAAAACATTTGTTTTCAACTATATAATGCGGGAAAAAATCAAATAATTCATGCAAGTTACTTGTTCCAAGGCACAACTGGTCTTCGGAAATATATCTTGCACGAAATGCACAGGCTAGATTACTCCCAAAAGCGTCTCAATAGTGCTGAGACCCTGAGCAATCGCAAGAAGAAAGCTCCAAGCATCAATCAATCTGATAACAAACCCTTTGGTGTTCTACACCATAAAAAAAATGGATTGAAAAACATCAGATATGTGTACAAACAGTGAGTGTATAACAGCAGATATAGAAGACATGGAAAATGTGCATGATACTAGAGAAACAAAAACCCAAAAACACTGGCAAAGCTCTGATAATACTCTGTTTTGAACTGAGGCTTTCAGAGATGTAAACGAGGTGCTAAGTGACCACCCATTTCAGGTGCAAAATGCTTGTTATTCGGGAACAACTGGTTTGTCTACTCTTGCTGGATCGTTTACAACGCTAACAGCTTTCTTGTACCATTCATGAACATTTTTATGAATTTCTTCCGTCTTTTTGATAACCGTCTCGTCTGGTTTGCCTGCAAATATTGTAATCAAATCGAGAAAACGCAGAACTGGCATCCTAAGAGTGACAAGATGGTAAAAAATAAACTACATCTTTTGAGTTGGCGTGCCCTCTTGGTATTACTGAACTCGAATTCGATTGAAGATGTCGCGCGAAAATTCTAAGACAAATTTCGTAAATGATTCACACCTGCTGGTGATGCAGATTTTTGCAAAGTAAGAAGCTAAGGTGTTTTTCTATGTAAAGATAACCAATATAAGCGAAGACAAAAAAGATTTTTACCGTAATTTGGTGGATTCGCATTCGGATCGTAGCCAAGTTCTCGAAGCATTGGAGCAACTTCATCCATGTCGCGCACCACATCTTCAGGGATAGCACCGACCCATTTCGATAACGCATCCACATTAATCGGTTTGACAACCTGAATTTTGCGTCTTTGAGCGAGCAGATCTATAGACTGTCTCAGTGACAATGCCACAGTGTCGCGGCTTGGGTCTTCACGACCGCCGTGCTCGCCCTGCGTTACGTTGCGTTCGCGAACCTCCTTTGGACATTCTCACGCCTGAGCAGGGACTGCATGCTGAGAATATGCATAGAGGATACGTCCGCTAACGCGGCGCAACGGCGGGCAAAGCGAACGCGAGGGCCCGAGTGGCTATAGTTGTGATAGTCTCATCGAGACAGCCTGTAGACATGGTTTTTGCTCAAAAAATAGAAATAAAAACGGAAATAATAAGCAAAATTTATTCTAAATGTCTGCAAGCACACCTACTTACCTGGTCAGAACTTCTTTCAACATTCGATAGTGAAACATCTTTGCCTATGAACCTTTCATGATGAAGAACGCTATCATTCCATGGTATCTGAAGGAAATCCAAGATCCGCCTCATTTGCGCTTCAGGATGCAAAACCAACTGCTCATAATAGACCTAAATTAGTATAGTTCTATAAATCACAAACAAATGTAGCAAAAGAAAATCTCGCACCCTCAAACACTTGTCTCCTACAGCATTGCATTGTTCATTCATTGCGCTTATCGCTGCGTTCCATTTCGTTAAACATTGACGATAGTCAGTCAGATCGAAGTTGGTAATTGTCACCTACAGCATCTGCACTTAGAAAAGAAAACATGTCATAAAGAATAAACGAACCTTTCTCGATATGATGCTATGTACAGTAGCTCGACCATCTCTAATCATGAAGATATATCGAGCATTCGGGAACATTTCCGATAAGAAAACAGCAGATTTCATTGTAAAGGGGTCTTTATTACATAATCGAGGAGCCGGTGCGCCATGACCAGCGATTACCTAGAATCGTAATGATTTGTGAGCAATAATCAAATGAAAAAGAACGACGACAGCTTGAAGTCAACCTGAATGATAAAGGAGCCTATTGCGCTTTTTATGACTTCATCGGTAACGCCAGCTTGTTGCAACCGATTCCATTCCTAAAAGTAGATAGGCAATATAAAAAGTGGTATCAATGGATTCATAGTAACTTTTATAGTAAATCAATTTTTCGCTCATATACAGTGCAGTAATAAGAGAAATTATTGGTCACCATCTTGTCAAAAATTTTAATAACGAGAGCAAACTTCCAGGGCAAATTTGTGTTCTAACCATGCAACTACCGTGGTAGTCAGAAAGTGTTATAGGTCATTCATCGCATGCAGAAACTGCGCCTTCGCTTCTATGAGATAGTTCGTGTTTGTGAGGGACAGCAGACGGTCAGAGAGATGGAATAGCGTTTTATAGACGCCAAAACAATATCTGCAATTTCTGTCTTTGCGTGCGACGAATCGACTATACTTTTTTGATTATAATATAAGCATATCAGATAGATTTACGCGCGAAGTTCCACCAAAATCTGTTCCGTTCTCGTTACAGAGCCCTTCGTTGTTGTTGTTGTTGTCTGCGCTTGAACAATGCGAGCTGGATACTTCATGCATGATAGAAAACGAAATCCAGTTACGTCACATGGATGTAGACTAACGTGCGATTGCATTCGTAACTAGACCAAATTTGTCGCAATGTTAGGAAGATGCGAAAACACGTACAGTGCATGTTAATGAGGAGCTCACAAGTCCGTAGCTCTTACGCGCACGCATCACAAGGCTGATGCGCTCCGTTCGCGTGCGTACGGCTTGGGCCCTTGCCAACCCTCGATCGACGACGTCTGTGGGAGTTGGCAAAATGCCCTGCAGTCCGCTCGCGCACGTGGCGCACGGGATTTGCGGCGCGTGCATGCAAATCGAGGACTGCACAAAAGGGAATAGGTTTTTGACATCGCCTGTAACATAGAGGCAACTCATCGCACGCAGAGACTGAATGCGACTGCGAACGCTGCCGGCGCTTTCAGATTAGGCTGCTGTTTCTCTTAAAGGCAGTGAATCAGCAGAGTGGACCCTTGTCGGATTTTGGTGGATTTGGATAGTAGACCCATCCCCCCACAAGTACACTGTAGCCCAAACCCCATCTGCCAATTCATGCGCTAAGTCCTAAAGAATGCGCTTTGAAACTCCACCAGCCCCGCCCACTCAATGGAAAGGGGCGGGGCTGGTGGAGTTTTAAGCGCATTTTTTAGGACTTAGCACATGAATTGGCAGATGGAATTTGGGCTTCTGTAGTGGGGGTCTACTACATAAATCTACCAAGATCCGAGGAGGGTCCATTTTGCTGATCCATTGCCTTTAAACACGACTATCTTTATCGCATTCAAAAGGCGGTCCCAGTCCCTTCGCGCAATGAATTATTTATACAATGCATATTCCGGAGAATGTTCCGAGCTGGATCATTAATTCAACAACTGCGCATCTATTGTTATGAATGTCGTAACATTTAGAGGCACCGTTCACCCAAAATGGGGTCGTTGAGATTTTGATTCCTGTCAGTAGCGGAGCTTCCAACTGTATACTTGCCCAACTCGCGTTGCTAAAATTTGCTTCCGAAACGCAAAACTTCGGATGACGGATTCGCCACGTTGGCTCCTCTCCTATAAATGGACGTGACTTTCGCCCCACCCATCCGTGCAACCAATCCATACCGGAAACTCGTCCTGGAGTTCTGCGGAATGGAGTTTGTCAGGGGTTCGGAATCAGAGACATAAGTAGGCCCCCAAATGACAAAAACATAAAAGTCAAGAAGGACGTTGACTTCAAAGGCACCGTCCACCCAAATCCTCGATTTTGAGCTTTTGGCCCTTTTTACCATCTCTTGCGCACGCTGAGTCCGAATCCAGACCTGAAGTTGAACGAAAGTCCGAAATCATTGAGTTTTGGATGCCCTTCAGGATCCGCAGTATAGGGGCACTCCTTGCGCCTGCCGGTCAGCCGCGAGCCACCTGCGGGTCTATCGCAGGGCAAAGACTCAGAGGAACCTGGGTCACTTGGGCACTCTCGGATGAATCGATGACTTTTTGGTCTTTGGTCTGCTAGGCGAAATCACTGAGTGGGCGGAACGAACGTACCGACCACTTGAAATTGGGAGGAGCCAGCGTGGCAAAACCGTCTTTTCGAAGCGATTTTCTCGCTTTGGAAGCAACTTCAGACGGCGCGAGCTGGGCAGCTATACCGTTGAAAGCTTCGCCACTATTAGACATCGAATCTCACGGACCCCATTTTTGATGGACGTTGCTTTCAATCGAATATTAAATGACAGACTAATCAATCAATTTTATTAGATCCTTTTCACGGACCCACCTTTTCACTTTTTTTCCACTGTGCTCTTAAACCCAATATCCGTGGTATCACCCGTGTTTCTTCACCACAACGTACGTCGGGATGTGCATCGAGCATGGCCCGCATTAACGTAGTTCCAGACCGTGGAACACCACCTTCAACAAATCAACTTCATGGGCAAGCATATATGGAGATATAAAAGGCACGACTTACCAATGAAAATGAATGCTGAGTTTTCATTTACGGGTCCATAGGGGATTGGTCGAAGCAAATCTCTCTCTTTCAATTTCGGTCCACCATCATATGTCCTTAACGAGAGAATTCAAAAAAAGTTACAGATTGAACGGGCAACCAAATCCCATCGCAAGCGCGCTAAAAGCGAAAAATGCGCTAATTAGAAGTAAAAAATCTATTGCACTGCAACGATAGGTAATCTAGACCACCTCAACAGGTTTGCACAACTTGGCGCTAATAGTCTTGCGATATGAATTGAGATGGGCATGACGTCATATGCACAAAAAGGTAATTCTTTAGTGTCCAAAAAAAGTCTTTGCTTTGATTTTGGAACCAGAAAAAGTGCCGTTAGGTGAACAAAAATTTTTCCGACCCTTCGCGTCTGATGGTTTACTATGAATAATATATTAGGTTGAACCGAAAGTTCTGTCGCACCATTTTCAAAAAATCATAACTTCCTTCGTTCACAACGATTTTGCGCAGTTCAAATTTTGTCTGAAAGCGTAAAGCATGTAGTTTCCAAAAGCTCCCTGGTGAGTTTCCGGCATGCTCAGTTTGCAGAGATAAAAATGAAAGAACGAGATCATCCGAAATTCGGAATTTTTAAGCAAGAATTCTAGAAATTCAGAAACAGTGCGATAAAATCCAGAAAAGCCATTATCCTAATTTTTCTTACATTTGATTACTAACTCAGTCAAGTTTGTGCTGATCGAGGTCTTCTTTCAGAAGTTATGAATTTTTGAAAAAAATGCCAAAAAATCCATTTCTTAAGAATTCTTAGGAAATTGATTTTTCGGCATTTTTTTTTCAAAAAATCATAACTTTTAAAAAAAGAGCTCGATCAGCACAAACTTAACTGAGATAGTAATCAAATGTAAGAAAAATTAGGATAATGGCTTTTCTGGATTTTATCGTATTGTTTCTGAATTTCTAGATTTCTTGCTTGAAAATTCCGAGTTTCGGATGATCTCGTTCTTTCATTTTTATCTCTGCAATCTGAGCATTTCGGAAACTCCGCAGGGAGCTTTTGGAAACTACTTGCTTTACGCTTTCAGACAAAATTTGAATTGTGCAAAAACGTCGTGACCGAAAAAAGTTATGATTTTTTGAAAATGATGCGACAGAACTTTCGGTTCAACCTAATAATTTAACCGCTGACTGCAGCGATCGTACACAACGTCGCAAATCGAAACTTTGTTTGGATTGGAGGGGCACTTAGCGATCTAGGAATGAACATCAAATGCTTCAAAACGGAAGAGAAAAAAAAAGGAAAGAAGCTTACAAAAAACCCTTTTAGAAAAGAAAAAACCTTTGAAAAAAAAAACAAGAATGCACTGTATATCATACTGCATTTACGCACTACATCCAAAGCAAGCGAGAAGGCAGCAAACGTAAAGCCTATTTATGCATTCTCTGCGTACTCTATAACAAACGTGGTAAAGTCTGTCTCAATCAAAATCAGGCCGAACCGTCCCGTGAATTTGCTCGCCGCGGCGCTAGGGTTTGCGCTGCTATACGAGTCGGAGAGAGCAAAGCGACTGAAGAGAAAGCAGACGAGCAGGCTACGCGTGACGCAAAAGCCTAGGGACGTGGACTCCTGCCATACCAATTCTGCCCTGATTGGAATTGGGACAGAGTGTACAGGCTATTGCCGAGCGAAGGCGCAAAACCAACGGACGCGAACGCGGTTTTATTACCCGCAAAGCGCATGAGGCGCAATGTTTACAACGGTGATGATAAAAGGCGCTGCGTTTTCGCCCGTTCAACTAACTTTGTTTTTGCGCCTCCGATCCGCAGCTGCAGATGCATTTGCGATAGTTCTCGCATACAAGTCTCGACTTTGCATGAGCTATCCTTCGTGCGAGACTAGGTTTTAAAGACTCGTCTGCACATTTTGCTCAGATGACATTTTCGGAAAAAAAAATGCCTGCACACACCTCTCAAAGTGTGGACCACACAAAAAAGAAAAGAAAAAGTCGTTCGTTTCGAACAAAGCAACAAAGTTATAGACCGCAAGTATAACAACATATAATGAGATGATGTAGAAAGAACCAAACAACTCTTCTTGATAAATCACCCCTTTGGAAGGAAAATGGCTGCTATCAAATGCCAGATAATCAACCCACATATCCGAGTGTGATAAGCACGTCTTAAAATGAAACCAATAACCATGCGATCCTCATAAAGACTTGGAAGATAGAAAAAGCTTAGAAAAAAATTAACTACCTGTTTTTGTATATGTAGAACACTGTACATAAAAATGCGATCACGACCAGATAGTGATATTTTGGTCGTCGCATTGTTTCACGTATTAGTTGCACCATGAAACGAAGCCGACGGCTATCGCATTACGATCTGTAAACGAAAACGATTCGAAACACGTTGGAAATGAGGTAGCGGCGGATGTTATACTTTCGATTATTATATGTAATGGACACAATGAACACTCAAACATAGAAAAACATGAAGAGATCGAGTGTCGATAAATATAATGGGATGAAACGTGGCAAGACTGATGGTACAATTGTAATAATGATAATTCGTAAAATGACAATAAAATGCGGTCAACGTGGATGTCTCTCATCTACCCCATCCTTTGTACGGTATGGAGTACACAGTGCTTAGAGGCATTCGAAATTAAGGGTGAATGAGATTTTTATGTTACAAGATAGAGGGGCCCCTAACTAAGAAGCAATCATCATAGTCTCACTGCAAAAGATGAATTTAAAAGCGAGAAAACCGCTCCAGAAGGTAAAAGAGTCCACGCTGGCTCCGCCCACCAACGTGGGTGGTCTGACAATTACAATTCCGAGATGGGCTTTGGGGCAGACAGAAATGTCATAAATCCAATGATTATAATGAAGGACGGACCTACAATTATGGATACACTGAAGCCCAAGTTTGGACTTGTTATCTCCAACCGCCAATGTTGACGGGCGGAGCCAGCGTAGCCGCTTCTACCTTTTGGAGCGGTTTTCTCGCTTGGAATCTATCTTCTGCAGCGAAATTTGGGTGATTGCCCAGCGAGGGGCCCTTATTTTATAAGATTAAAATCTTGTCACCGTCAATATTGATGGACTTTGCCTTTGAAGGGAAAAATCCTACAGTTTTGTCATCTGCGCACTACAGTCACAAGAAAATTCTTAGAATAAAATCAGGAAGTATGGAGCCCTAAACTTGTCATTACAACTGTAATAAAGCGGACTGTCTTTGAACAAATGCGTCGAAATACTTAAAAGGAAATTTATTGCAAAGTTCAGGTACAAAATTTAACGGAACTAGTCAATAATTTCCGATAGCCGGTCGAAAAAAGCTATCAATGTCCTACATGAACGACGTTCACTTCAGTTTCATATGCAAATTACAATTCTAGCGGCAATTCTGTCTGTCATGCAAACAAAGCAAAGCAATTTTCCTCTTATTCGCATTTCGACCTACTTTCACCATGAAGATCGTCGCATAAAAACCCAAATCCTATCTTAGATTATGATTATTTGTACGTCAGCACTCGTTCATGCGCAAAGAGGATTAGTGGATTTGGATTGTGGCTGTGGTGTAAATGCAGGATATATACCAAGTCTGAAAACACAAAGTCTCAGCTATTCAAACAACTGCGCACAAATAAAATCGAATCAGAAAGTATGAATTTCACCTGGGTCAGGGCCCGGCGGGGGTGGCGCTTTCACAAGCTGGATATCGTTTTTGGCCCGAAAAAGCAAAGGGGAGGTCGTATTTTGGGGTCCGGGGCGGAGCCCAGAACCCCAAAATACGACTTCTCCTTTGTTTACCGATAAACAATGCACATGTCATTCTTTATTCAACATTCCTTGTTGATGCTACTGTCCTATGAACTTAGATTCCAGCAATGTGAAGATTCTGTGCTCCGATCGCTAGCCTGCCCGCAGGCGGGAATTCAAATCGCAATTCTTCTAAGAGGAAACTAACAAAATAGGCTCGTTTTCAATGCACAAGTAACGATATGGCACCAAATTTGCTGTATAGTTGGAGGACCATAAGCACAAAAAAAGTATGAAGAATTATGAGAAACTTATGTGAATTTAAAAAATGGTAAGTGTTTTTCGAAATTAGGTGGCTCCCGCGCCACCTGGGAGCCACCTGGGGTGGCTCCCTGCTTCCCTTCACATAATTTCCCAGATTTCTTTACATAAATGTGGACTAGGTTGAGAGTATTACTATATGTTCAAATCCGCTTCCAAAACCATCAAGGTACCGCTTCGATACAGCCCCAAATAGGGTTCACAGCGTTATGATCGGCCTCAGAAAGCGCGCTCCAATCGCAGTCGGTGCACCTTGCACGGACGACGCGGAAACTCCGAGAATTTGACTTTTTGCTTAATTAGTGATCGCTGATTGAAGCAATCTTCGCAATTTTTAAATAGATTGCTTCTTCGACGAGCCCTACAAGGGCTCAGAAGGGCCAGAGATCATATTTGGTCGTGATGTTCTATACAAAAAGTTGTTTTTGTGATTGTGTTTCTTCAGTTTTCGCATTGTGGTCGTTCTCCGCACTTTCGCTCATTTGGGTCGTTTGTTTTCGTCGTTTTTCTTTATTCTGGTTGTTGCAGGCATGCTGTCATCAAAAGTTGAGGAAATGTTTTTGACAAGATCGAGTCGAGTAAAGTCGGTGGACCTTCATCTCACGGAAACGTGGCTATTGGCAGCTCTTTACAGTGGAAGCGTTTAGATATGGAATTACGAGAGTCAGCTGCTTCTGAAATCTTTCAAAGTAGGTTTATTTTTTTGAATTTTCATGTATTTTTGTACGTTAGGCCCCGGCCAGACTTCGCTCAAGATAGCTCATCCAAGAATGAGTTCCTATCCCGCAAATAGTTAAGCGTTGCCAGGTGTTCTTGTACATATGCGTCGTGAAAAGGGGCCTTTGGTGTTTTTGAGCGGTTCTGGGCTGTTCAGTTGAAGTCTGGCTGGGGCCCTATGTTGCTTACTATGTTTCAATCCAGTATCTTGCGCATTCTTCAGATATGTGATTTGCCAGTGCGCGCTGCCAAGTTTATTTCACGCAGAAATTGGATTGTTCGGCTCAGATGACATGCATGTCAGAATTTTCGACTACAGCACGTCGCACTTAGGTCACCAATTTGCGGCTCATTCGGACTATCTCAGGTAGGTGGAATGGTGCATTTATGCAAATATGTTACATGACATCGAATTTTTGCATTCGTTTTTGTACATTTGTGATTTTTGCTTTTTCTTTGTGTGTTTTCCTTCATTGCCTCCAATATTTTTGTGGATCAGCGAGACCCATATTTTCAATGTGTTTCTGGTCTGGACGATCCCTTACTCGACAGAGTTTACGCGATTTGATCGTCGCGATTGAATCGCGACAAGACAGCTGTTACGAGTTCATTGCATGCCAACCAGCTTGCACTTCGGGACTGTCAGGGACTTACGGGGGCCAAAAATAGGGTCAAAAGGGAAGTCGTAAGAAATTTTGACTTCAAAGGGGATATCGTTTTCAAAATCCTGAAATGCCACCTCCCGCCGGGCCCTGACCTGGGTCGGGCACCCCAAAAAAAGCAATTCCCCTGAAAGTCACTCTTGAGTGACTTACAAGAGAATTTTTGTTGTGCCGAATCCAAAACAGTGTTATAGAGCATTTAGAGAAGTGCGAGATTTTTTTTTGGCTGTGAGATTGTTTTGAGTTGGAGCGTTTGCCCATCTGGTAAAGGCAGCGTCCATCCACACCAAAAATGATGGGATTTTGTTGTTATATAATAGCGGAGACCCTATCTAGGCAATCGCCCAAGTCTCACTCCAAAAGATAAATTCCAAAGCGAGAAAACCGCCCCAGAAAGTAGAAGAGGCTACGCTGGCTCCGCCAAGCAACCCCGGTGGTCTGAAGGTATGAGTTCGTTGGGCCTCAGGCCTAGAAAGGTAGCAATGATGATCATTATAAGGGCGGATCTATGGTAATTCTGAATATTTAAAGCCCAAGTTTGGACGTTATTTTCAAACACCTACTGATGGGCGGACCAGTGTGCCGCTTCTATAGGCTGTACCAACCAGCATCGGTTGTGCGACGTCGCACCTGCGGTAACTTGCGACGGTGCGAAGTCACGCGTGCGAACTCCGCTAAGTGCTAGGGCACGTCGCATGCGACGGTGCGCCCTCGCAAGGCATACTACCGCGGAACCGATGCTGGCTGATACAGCCTATATCTTCTACAGCGGTTTTCTCGCTTTAGGCATGTCGTTTGAATTCTTGAGAAGAAAATAATCGCAAAAAATAACGGTCCCAACGCCTTACTGCATACAAAGAAAAAGAGAGGTGAAAACTAGGTCTTGACCACAGTGGTGAACAACTAGCCTAGGTGAGCAAACTCAAGTGCAAAAGTGTCCGTGGCTCACACACTTTCATTCAAAGTCGCGTAAGTTTAGATGAAGTGCAGCTGCTGCCTATTATGCATATTATTGATCCCACATGTGAAAGGCTAGATTACACACACACACCCGCGCCAGATAACGGGAAAATTAAGCATGGAAGACATCGTGACAATCCGAAACAACAAAAAGACAACACTGATGTCGGCATGGACTGCCAGAGGAATAATGAGCAAGATTGCTAAAAAAAGGAACGTGAGCTATTCTAGCAGAGGTGCAAAACCACACTAATGTAAAGGAGATGTCCAGACAGTCGGGTACTTCTGGACTTCCTAGGGAATATGGAAACCTTAACGATCCACTGTTCGTAACCAAGAAATGCAACTCTTGCCCAATACCGTATTCGGCTGTGCCCTGGCTGGTCCACCCAAGAATGTGTATTGTGCCGGGCGAGAACATATCTGCATTTTCTCGGCTACGAATGAATCCTACGGGATGCCGCCTGGGCAATAAATTACTTGATCAAACTTCCAGAAATGGTCCACAAAAGAGGCGATTTTTCAGAAATATCGAATTATACTCCAAGATCTCATTGCGCGTTCTGTGAAACCTGTTCACCTAGACGAATCGCCACAAGCAAGATGGTAAAAAAAATTAAAAATGTGAAATGCAATCCACTATCGGATTTTTGATTTCCAAAGTGAGTCAACGACGAAAGTGCAAGTTAAGTCTCGGTATTTGTGCAGAAGTAAGGCAAACGAAAGTTTCAAAGAAACCGATTCATGGAAATTTCATCAGCACTTAGAAAGCAAACTGTCAGGCCCTCTTCGGAAACAACAAGCCGCGTTTGCCCTTATTTTAACGTCCTATTATCGGATTCTACTGCATCGCAATTACATCCAATTTAGAAGTGCAAGCATTGCGACTAACATTTCAGAATGAAAAGACTATCTCACAGCAAAAAAGTCGATAAAAACAAGGATTCGCTAGATTCTTGTCGTATTTTGAATTGGATTTCTCGCGTAAAACACAAGCTAGTCTTTGGTATTGCTCTAAGCACAAAAAGCTAGCAAAACATGATCAGTTTTGAAAAATTCAAAAATTAGCAAACAACTTCTTACAAAGACACCACACAGCAGCTAACAAGAACCTCTGTTGCAGAACCGGTTTAAGTGGTACTTGTGATCACCCTGATTCATTTGGAAAGTGACTGTTTATAAAGGAAAATATTAGCAAAGATTAGAGCAAAGATGAAAATGAAAGCACAAGAAACTTAGCAGCTGCAGTCGAGAACTGGTACATGGTCCAGAATGCGAGAACAAGGATACGAGAAATTCCTACAAGAAAACCAACCAAACAGAAACACCACTCTCACTTTAGCAAGAGGTTCATGGTTGAAACAAAAAGTCAAATTCAAAAGTGGCTAATGCTTTATAATATCAAATCATTGAATATTTTTTAGGTAAATCAAGCATACTCAAGCTGTCCAAACGGCACTCATATCACCCATTCGTAGCCGAAAAACTCATCACAGATCATTCAGCTACTGTACTATAGGAATCATTTAAGCTGTCGCTCATATAATGGCTCGATCAGAACTCCCCATTCAGCTCCCATATAAAAAGTCCTGGAACTCAGATTTATCTGTATTCCGGCCCGTTCCATACTATGTCGATTTGCAGTCGTAGCGAGCGCTGCGACGCGTAAAAGGAAGTGTTCCACTATACACATAATACTCGACATTCCAAAATTATTCGCATGCTCAAAATCTCGAATGTTCGACTGTGGGCATAATTCGCAGTTATTTCAATGGTCGAATAATTTGGACCATTTAAATAATCGAAATAGATTGGATATCAAATAATAAATGCAAATATCGAATAGATCCAAAATATGGTTCCCAGTACTAATTGTCGCTCGCGTGTAGTGCAGCGCATAAGGTACTTGAAATGCATAGAAGTTTTTGTTTCATCAAAATAATTAATTCAATACTTTCGAAGCGGATTCTGATTGCAAATAGCAAATGTTTTAATAGAGAGTGGGCAGAAATACCATCAGAGTTTGCAACATTTTATAGAAAATGAGGAAACATCAGAAGACAAAAGAAACAGTTAATCAAGTTATACTCAAGCAGCACAGTTTAGCGATTGATATTCAAGGGCAAGGCTAAATTACTGGCCCATAAGAATTGGCCAAGCAATATCTTCTCAAAAGAGCATAAATTCGAGTCTTCAACTGCGAGCAAATGATGATAGACACATTTATATTTTTGATACGTTCCGACTTCGAGTACGACGCATAAAAAAAATTTCCGGAAATATTCCGATAACGAGCAAATTACGTTTTTTACAATTGAGAAAATTAAAGCAGCATCAACGCCATGAATAGAAGAAAATAATGTGGGCGATAAATCCGACAAACGTGAAATTAGATACAGAAGACAAGATAAATAAGGGTTTGGGGTGAAGCGAGGGTCCGTCAAAACATCAGCAAATATGTTTACATGAGAAAATGATAAGATATTTAAGTTCAACGACAACGAGCATTGACTATTGGAAAAGAGATTTATGTCAACAAGCCCTAGCAATTACTTTACATCAAAGCAATGAATGCATGAGAATCTCTAAAACTAAAGCAAATCTTTTTTCCCAGTCAATTCTATGCATGAAAAATGAGGCGAGAAATTTTCCACCGTTCTCAGGACAGAAAACCATTTCTTCAGCATTTTTAAGCAGCAACTTTGCGTGACTCATTAGTCACAACGATGCCAGTGCCATTCAAAACCCCATAAAACAACTATCCCATCAAGCGCTTACTAGCTGCATGCACTCAAAAATTTATGGAGAAGACGGATGGGCAAGGATTTGCATGCAGATATGGATCATTACGTATCAAATTGCGCTGGAACTGCCTTTAGACTAGATGAGCGGAAAGAAAATTTGGCCAAATATGTGCTTCCAGTATGGCAAACAAAACTAGTTTTCTCAGCTCATAAAGTACCGTCGAGACAAGAACGTAAGATCAAGTTAAAGACCAGGTTTTTATCAGAAGCTGAAGACGTTAACGAAATGCTGAAAAAGCAAGAGCGGTGTTCACTCAAAACCAACAGAGAGTTTTGTCTATACTTTCATCACTTTCATGCCCAAGACATTTAAAAGCTCAAAGCTTACATTTGACTTGCAAGTTAATGTAGTGCTCCTGCGGTAATGACAACATTTGCGCGGAAACGAATACTATGCTTGTAACCTTTGCGCATAAAAACGGCCATGAAGCGCATATCATCACTGTTTACGCACAA